GTCAACTGAGCTGAGTTTGGTCAACTGAGCTGAGTTTGGTCAACTGAGCTGAGTTTGGTCAACTGAGCTGAGTTTGGTCAACTGAGCTGAGTTTGGTCAACTGAGCTGAGTTTGGTCAACTGAGCTGAGTTTGGTAAGTAGAGTTGATGGAAAAAGCCAACACAGAAACTTTTGACTTCTAAATTTACTCCCCGCTAATTTTCCGCAACTACCCCATTTCCTCCCCCACTCACCTTTGTTTCCGTCTGTAATGGTCGTGAAAAATTCCTAACACACCTGAAAGAAAATGAGAAATCGCCCAGTATAATTTTAATCTGTATTAAAGTTGTCCGATGAAATGTTAAATTTGGAACATTTTTATCTTCCATCGATTATAACTCACAAAACCCAGCTCTCGCTGACTTACTGAAAGCTCTGAAAAATTGTCTGTAACATTTAGAAAACATTAAACTGTTTATTGATTTGTTTCACACGACTCTTAGAGTGTCCGCGTGCTATAAAGATTAGAATTCTGAACCGACCGTATTTATTACATCAATACTTCAACTTCAGTGATCGCTTTAACTCCGCCACGAGCTACCGATGTTCAGTTTCATCGTCCAGCACGGTGGTTGGCAACCCGGGGCTCCTGAGCAGTACCAACCCATTGGTTGGCATACCGAGGCTTCTGAGCCATAACAACCTGTTGGTTGGCATACCGAGGCTTCTGAGCCATAACAACCTGTTGGTTGGCATACCGAGGCTTCTGAGCCATACCAACCTGTTGGTTGGCATACCGAGGCTTCTGAGCCATAACAACCTGTTGGATGGCATACCGGGGCTTCTGAGCCATACCAACCTGTTCGTTGGCATACCGAGGCCTCTGAGCCATACCAACACAGTGAGGTGGCACCCCGCAACCACTGAGTCGTAACAACACAATGGTTGTCGTCACCCCCCGGGGGCTCCTGAGCAGCACTGACACAGTGCCCGAGGCTCCTGAATCGCTTCCGTGTCGTTGAAGGAGTGGATGCGAATCTTCTTCTAGTAACTGCCCAACGCTATCTAAACAAGTCACCTTAACATGAGATGTCCCAGAACATTTTCCTAGCAGACTTTTTTTTTTTAAATGACACATCCTTGAAAAACGTTTGCCTACCCTTAGCCTGTCAGGACCACATTTACATATATGGTCAACCTTTACCCAAGTACTCTCTTCTATAGGTGGGTCTTCGTTAAATGTATATATATCTCGGGACCCATTCATAATACCCGCAATTTTTTTAAAAAAATGGCAGAATGCGCTTGACCAGACACACTGAGAGGATGCCGTATTGCAGAGCAGCAAAAGTGATCTACAGGCAGTATTCTAGGGGCAGAAGTCTCACGGACTGACCCAAGACTGAGAAAGATTGACGATGTAGAGAAGGACTTTCACCAGCTGGGAGGTCCGCACGCGGAGGCAGAAAGCCATGGATCGGTCAGAATGGAAGGATGTGGTGGAGTAGGCCAGGGCCCCCACATAGGCTGTAGCGCCACTGATGATGATGTGCGAACGGAAGGATGTATTAGAGCAGGCCAGGACCCACCACATAGGCTGTAGCGCCACTGATGATTATGTACGAACGGAAGGATGTATTAGAGCAGGCCAGGACCCTAAATAGGCTGTAGCGCCATTGCTGATGATGTAATGAAGGGGAGGATGTGTTGGAGCAGGCCGAGGCCCCACACAAGCTGTGGCGCCACTGATGATGATGTATGAAGGGGAGGATGTGTTGGAGCAGGCCGAGGCCCCACACAAGCTGTGGCGCCACTGATGATGATGACCATGATTTACCCTGCCACACACCTTCATCGTCATGTTATTCACCTCCCTCACCCGGTGTCCTTCTGAGTGTTAACCCTCCTCATCCTCCCACCCCCTACGAGTTCATGACCAATCTTCTTATCATGCCAAGTTATCGTTAAACCGGCGCCTGGGAAGATGCTAGCTGTTGCACACGACTCAGGCCTTTAAATCACGGGTAATTAACCCCGATCGATTTCCCATCCATGTTTTAATGTCCCATGTTGATGCCGTTGAGATGAGTGTCGGGGGACAGATTTCGGAATGAGTAAAATAAATTTAATAAAAAAAAATAACAAGGTATGCACGGAGTAATGCTGAAATAGAGCCTTTCACATTGGGGCTCGTTACTTGACAATGTTTCGGAAAGATTTTCTCAGCCTCGCCTTGATCTTGCTGCAATTAGAAATCCGAATCTTATAAATCCAAATGAGAGCAGATTGACGGATGATAGCACATCTTTCTTCGTGAATAAAAAATTATATTTGCAAAATTACTGACAACATTAATTAGCCTAGAGATTAGTGGCAATAAAGTGGTATGAATCGATGCCCTGGGGGGGGGGGGGGGGAAAATACACAATTTGCCCGTCATCAAAATCAAATTTAAATTCTGCAATCAACACGTGACTTGCACACTGGGCTAAAGCAGAACAGATCGTCTTAAACAGTTCCCCCCATCCCCCCCCCCCCGCTACCCATCCACCACTTGCCAGTACTCGTCAGCTCCTTGTTGAACTTGCCGGGTTGGATCGCCACCAACACATACAACAATTTTGTTGTTGTTGTTGTTGTTGTTGTTGTTGTTTTTTAAAGTGTGAGCATAAAATGTCAGTTAAAGATCCTGGTTGACCTGGTTCACTGTTCCTGACATAAAACTTCGGATGGGGGGGCGGGGGGGGGAGAGGGAGCTGCCAACCGTGAGGAGAATACACGCCACATCTTTTATAAAAGTTGGCGACCTTGCAGCCTTGGAGCAAGCTTGTCAGTTCTTTCGTTTCTTCTCTTCGAAGCTGCGTTAAAAAAAAAAAATAATAATTAAATAACGTAATATCAGCTAATGTGAATAATAGTCTTATATCAGCCTTGGGAAAAAAAACATATAGCTTGTAGGCAACACATAAGCTTTGTAAATTACTTAAAGTAACATATAGGAGCCAGAATGATCAATGCATTGATCGTGGGCCATCAAAATATAGAGGAAGAAGAAGAAATTGCGATGTAAATAACACAGTCTTATTTTGTGAATGAACACATTTTTAGCGATGAAAAAACATTTTGAGAACCTCTGGGTTTGTATGTGTCATCGCATTTAAAAGACTTCCTTGATAATTGATTTAGGACTTTTCAGCATGATTACACAAATATGTATAGTTTATATATATATATATATATATATATATAACATTAATTGTAAAACTCATCACGTGGTTCAGATTCAATGCTGGGGGACCTTACACATGATATATAACACGAAAGGGTAAGGGGTGGTTTATAATTTTGTTATGTTGTGTTATACAGGGTGGGTTGGTCGAGACCAATGTTACATACAATTTTATTGGTGCTAATTTAAAAAAAAAATAAATCATTCTTACATTTGCTAAATTTCTGCTTTTTTTACATTTATGAAATTAGCTTAGACTGTGGAGTTTAAATGCTTGAATGTATTTTTCGCTTACAATAATTAACATATTTCCGTTTATAGAAAATCCTCTTTGCTGATTAAGGGGAATGGTGGTCAATGGAAATGTTGTATAACATTATAAGGGTTAGGGGGTGGGTCAAAATATCATGTTTTGTGTTGCATAAAATATGAGATATTTGCTATTGACAAACAAATAAACTAATACAAAATCACCACAAAAACAAACATTCGCTGGTTAAAACCTCCAAGCTAATGTTATTAACTAACTCTCAATTATCCCATTTATAATCACGTTGCTAGGAAGCCATGTTGCGGCAAAACAAACCTCGTCACGTGTTTGTCTGCTGCTCATTTCGAATATGGAACAAACGGATTTCAGATTTTAAAAAAAAATTACTTTTGTCATTGTGTCATGACAAAAAAACGTTGTGAACTCATTTCGGATAAATTATGTTACTTGATACGGAGAAAATACGTCGAAATTCTCCACTCCACGGGCAGATACATTTTAAATGAAATATAAGAACGAGGTATGTTAAACTTGCATTAATCGACAGGGCGGTATGAATTGGACGTTTCCGCTAGGAGCCTTCTTCAGCAAACAAGACAAATAGAAATAAGAAGTAACAGAGCACAGCATCCCACATTTTCTATGAAATCTGAACTGTG